AAAATTGTGAAATATTCAAACCTATAGAAAATTAACAGCCATGTGTCTATTATCCAAATGTTTCAAATGTTAATATCTCATAATACTTGCTTTTCTTTAATAAAACTTTTGAAGGTACTGTTGAAATCTCATGTTACCCCTCCCCAATCGTGTTTCCTTCTCTCCTCCATGGAAGTAAGCACAATTCAAAATGTATAATTCCTATACATATTTTTTATGATGTTACTACATATGTATGTATCTATAACTACTACAGAAGATTTTGCAACTTACATTTTCCATCAAACACTGACATATAAACACACTATTTTTTGAAACTGGAGGAAAGAAATGGAACTTTTTAAAGCTAACTATTCATAGATAGTCATATTTATGTTCCACATTCTTTTCTTCTTTCATCAGATTCTGTGTTATTGGATCCAACTGTAGTCTACTTCTTGTACTATTTAGTTTACATATTTGTGGGTTCTCTCTGGGCCTTCCCCTGTCATAATCTAATGTTTGGGACAAATTCTACAATGTCATATGGCACAAATTAAGGAATTGACCTTATTGCTAAATAGGAAAACTCAGAATGCTAAGATCAACAGGACAGTGATGCACTCCGTTTCCTTATCATCCCATGGAGGTGTGTGCCAGGACCAGGATGTCTCTAGGCACAGTATGGATTCTATTCTAATACAGAGTACCTTCCCTGCCCCATGGGTATATCTTCTAACCGAATAAGGGCAGGAAAATGGCTTTGTTGAGGGTGGAGGATAATACAGTACCCTTGGTCCTGGGTAATCTGCATTTGGGGTGCCAGCTGTTTACTGGTTGTCTGGGAAAGTTAGCTAGCTGTACCTGGATACTGGGGGGAGCTGGGGACAATGGGACCTGTGGGAGTTAAAGTCTTCACTGTTTGGTAGACATTCCTGGATCCCCAACTATTCACAATGGAGACAAGGAGGGCCCCATGATTCCAGCTGGCCTATAGTCCATGTAACCAAGGAAGAGCAACAAAGATCATTCTCAGATATTGTCATTGCATAGGCTCATTAGTAGACATGCTAATTGCTTTTCAGATACATTGTTATTTTTTATTAAATTGAATAGCTTAATTTATATGCCAGATTATTCTGTGAATAATCGTGGAAGTACAATGATTTGCTCAGAATCAAATAACTGTTTAACAAGTGGCAGAGTTGGTAATGTAATCTACTATAATCTATTATTTTTCCTCCCATTCTTTCATAAACTGTGCCTAGGATAGATATTATAATGTGTTCTTTCTGAGATTTTGGTATTCTTTTAGGATGTACTAAGATGATATAAAATGATTCTCAGTTCCATTTTTTATTCTGTGGTTGTTTTTCAGGAAATTACTGACATAGTTTTTAAAATTGAGCTATATTTTCAAACAGCTTTGCTTGGAGTCATTGTTACTGCAATGCCACCTTACTTTGCCATGGAAAATGCAGAAAATCATAAGGTAATGAGTCAGTTAAAAAAAATTACAGGTATGGTTTGCTAATAATAAATGTCATACAGAAAATAACCTATTTGCATGATTGCAAGTCTTAATAAAATTATTTTAGGAATAAGTAAATGGAGTATAAATACATTTATTATTATGTATTATAATAATAGTGATAACTAGTATTTATTTCTTGAGACTTGGTACACGCTTTAAAAATAAATCGTCTAATCCTTATAGCATTTTGAGGTAAGTTTTGTATTACCCACTTTATTGATCAGGAAACTGAATATGGAAGTGTTCCCGTGTTCATACAACTTGCCCAGGTTGACTCATCTTGTTTAAATGGTGGATCTGAGAACTGACTAATCTTTATTAATATATTCTTAACTGGCACACTAATCTGCCTCTCCTATTTAACCTTTAATAGAGTGTATTGAATGGTAAAGACACCATTGGTAGCTGAAAAAGAAATATAGGTGAAAAATGATTGTTATCAGTAGGGCCTTGGAAAAATTGCTAAGTATTAATATACAGAGGTTCTTTGGTATTCTTTCACTGTCTTTTCTGAACCTGTCTTTTTATTGTCTTACAGGCCCATAGTGATCTTGTACAGTCTTTTGGCTGTTCAAAGCCTTCTACTTTTCCACTCTGTTGAGATTATATCTTACTCCTCTAATCAAAATTCTTATCCTCTCCATGGATGATCTTAATTCAGTGGAAATAAATTTGTCTAAATTAGTTTACCAAGTGTGCTTACTAAAGAGCTTCATTATATTTAATAAATTTTAATAAAAATAAATTCTAATCTTAACAAAAATTTTACTGTAAATAAATTTGTTTAGTATAAAAGGTAAATCAGGAGTCCCCATGACTGGCTCCTTGGGTTTAATTTGCTAGAATGGCTCACAGAACTCAGAGAAA